ATTGACAAGTTCATTTCACTTAGTTGAGTTTATTATAAGATCCTATAGTTTGTTTTATTTCCTTTTTCCTTGGTTGTGTTCTTTTCCTCATTTCACATGTTTACAACATGTCCGTTAAATAAATAAATAAATTAATTAATTAAGAAGTATATGTAAACTTATTAGGGTATTGTATAGGTCAGATATGTATGTATCCAAGCATCGTTTCGATTTTTGATTAGAAGTGGAAGGCATGGCGTAATCCTGTTCGAGATTGTCCCACATTCAGTACGAAATAGTTCGAAATAGTTCGGACATTTGTTGCTGGATATGAACGATAACCTTGACCAGAAAATGTTCGGAGGTCTGTTCAAGCTTTTGAGTTTTTAGGTACAACACCAGATGAGATTCATCTCTCTCCCTCTCTTGATCACGAAACAGATTTGCTTGTGTCCGCTTTGAAAAACGCTTTGATGAGAAATTTGAACGATTGTACGACTATTGTGAACAGGATTCCATACGGTGCCGAAAGCTTTTCTTTGTCATAAATCTCTGGTATCTTGAAAAGGCACCGAAGCGGTTCTTTTTCGTCAATGACGACGATGAGATGAAATGAAACCAATAAACCCGGGAAAAATCATGGAAATCAGGTTTGCTCGACGGGGTGGCCAGGGTTATCGCCATCCATTTTTGTCTATAGACACATATTCGGGTATGTGATGAATGATCGCCGACTGGATTATTCACGGAAAACCAGTTGGTTATGATCACGAACTTTGGCTGGGCATCCACTACAACAATAGACAAGTCACATCAACGGTTGCATCAAGTGGTGGCTATTATACAATTCTTTTTGTACATACTGTATAGTATAGGTGCAGTACAGTAGGAAAAGGCGCTGGCCAGGATGTGATGTATTCCCAGGTGAATCACAAGCTCAGAGTACCGCGTTGGTATCTTTCCTGTCAACCATATGGGACTGTCTGAAACCGGTCTGGTATTCAAGGGACGAGTGAGCGATTTTTTTTTGTGGGTGAACATGCTTTCTACTACGCTAAAAACCATCACTCAATTATCCCAGCGACTAGCTATGGGATAAGCCATGCATTCGGTTTATATAGTGGAATCACTTGAACATGCGTTTTGTTTGATTGGACCCTTCTGACCTTCACCTTCTAACTCCCGTTTAATCCCATGGTCTTACATAAAGATGTCAACCAACCCACCTCGAGATACGCCACGCATTTGGGTTTCATTTGAAATCGTGGCCCTACTCAAAGGTATACATTGGATATTATAAGACGTCTGATGAGTTCATTTGCTCAGTCAACAGTTTCTATCTCCTCAGGTACACTCGGTTGATTAACGCAGTAGGGTTGAAACATCATTTGATAAGGGTATAACCGCGCCTGTAGCCACTGAACTTCCTTCCATAGACCTATGGAGACCTATAAAGTAATGGGCCTAAGAGGCAAGTAATGCTTCAAATGCACCTTTTCACATTTTCCATGCCCTCCTTGATTGCTACTCAGCCACCGTAATCGGTTCAATAATTCCTTGTTCCTTAAAAGGTAATAAAGCCTCGAGGATGAAAACTCGTCAGCAGGCGACCGGCCGGCCACATGCGCCGCCTAGCTGGCTGGCTTCGCATGGCTGGCGTCTGGTTACGCTCATCTGTCGAAGGCGGAGCCTCTGAAATCCTCATTCGCTTCAGTTCCTGCGAATCGAAGCCAGATGTTATTCAAATTCGTTACTATTTTCCTACTGCCTCTATGTATTCGATCTCAGGTGAACATTCACTTCATTACAATCGTAGAACTGTTCAACAACTTTACCCAGACGTCATCTCCTTTTTTCCCTGTCCGTTTGACCGCATTCCTCAAACGAGTATGATCGGGTCGTATACGAACGGAGTGCAAATAGCTGCGAACCAGGTTTCGTTTTCTGTTGAGACGGATGTTTGTATTATAGTCATAGAATTGGTTCTTGGTAAAGAAACACTGGTGAGAAAGATAGGAAATCACGACGAGGATGTTGATTCTCCACGAAACTACCTGGGAACCCCCTTCGAATGAGATGCATACAAGTAATACTATACTAATGCTGCCTTTATAATCTCCTGTGGAGCTGTCCTTTTGCTTGGCACATGGTTTGATTTTCTCAATGGAGTCCTTTTTCTGTAGATCTTTTATTCATCTAGCTGAGGTTTCTGAAGGAACCTATGAAATTTAGAACGCGCCAAGCATTTGTTTGCCACCCAGAACACAAAAACGTGTGAACGGGAGTTTGGCCCATGACATGTGTAGTCTTACTATGCAGGTACTGATAGCTAAATGTTACTGAACCCTCACATGAAGGAAGCAGGCATGGAAGCAGGGGTAGGCGATGATTGAGTCGCAAAGGTAAGGGATAACAGCGAACTGTAGGTAGGAAGTTACCAAGGTGTACTAGTTGCGCAAATGGCTGCTCTGAGACATAGCACTTAGGATTCCTTTCCTTGTAAGAACCCTTCCGCATAGCACTTTTCGTAGACCCCTTGAGGGAGAGCTTATAGCTACGTTCCCAAATAATTATCACCCTGAAGGTGTCAACAGTACTTGAATTTTTAAATAAATATTTTCTGATTCCAGTGCTGCTACTTGGAAATTCGAAGTTTTCATCTTTTCTGATGCTGGAATTGATGATCGAAACTTCATTGATTATATTTTTATCTTCCTGAAGCTTCAAAATCGGGAAAGGATCGAATTCCGAACCTTCGAAAGGGTAGATGTAGTTAATGAGAAATTTTGGATAAGTTGCTCAATCATAGTCTCCTCAGCAAGCCCTAATTACGTTCCACCTGTTTCCTTCCGATGATATAAAGGCGGGCTTATGAAGGAAAAACGTTTATACTCTTCCACATAGAGCTTCAGATGCTATACTTTCGCATCCTACTGTTGGGCTGATAGAAACATCGAGAATGTGCGCTGTATGCATCCATGTTTAAACGTGTTTGTCCAGTTTCAACATGCCTGAAACGTCACAGTCAGGTTTGAGCCTGTATTACACACCATTGTAGCCGTTAGCCGCTGGATAGCAAGGGTCATGGATGTGTGACATGAGTTCCCTCGAGGTCGCCGCGCCCGGTGACCTATTTTTTGAAGCTGAGACATTCAGAGTACTTCTGACCGGGTCACTTCTATCTAATGTACACTGTCATTCAAACCAATCTTAAGTTTCAACGGGAAATGCGAGGGTATTTAAACGTATGACATTTTTTCGTGGAATTGGTCGATGTATAGTCAAAACTACATAGTTGACAACACGAGAGCTCGTACCCTTCCCTTCTTCTCTTGGAATAGGCCGACAGTTGCTATTGACAAAAGTCTCTAGAAGAATGAAATCAGGAAATCATATGACAACGAACATCTCAAGGGGAAGTGTAGTTCTGTGGAGGAGGTGAGTCAGGAGGTGCCACCACGGCCAACATGCGTAATGCAGGTTCGCGATATGTGTACATACATATGTATGTTGATGACTTAACTTTGATCACGCTATGCCTGCTGCTTCTTTTTATCTATATCCCT